CTAATTTAAGTTTAACTCATCACCACCTAAACCATTTTAGAGCTACTTGCATGTTTTCCATATGTTGCTAATTTGAGGATTTTGCTTATTAAAAATTCAAATATATGAATGACTAATTGACAGTTGCTTAAGGATTTGAAAGAACTGATTGCTAAAAAGTTAGTGGTAATGTAACTTATATGATTTTTCCATCTCTCCTTCAAAACTGTTTGACATTTTATTGGGAAATACGTGTCAGCTAAATGGTTAAGGGTTATATGAGAACAAGAATAGATTACACTGACAGCGATGCAAATATTTTCTGTTATTATTTATTTTGATTAGGAAAGGACACTACTTTAAAGAGGAACAAAAATAGATTACACTGGCAGTGATGCAAATATTTTCTGTTGTTATTTATTTTGATTAGGAAAGGACACTACTTTAAAGAGGAACAAAAATAGATTACACTGGCAGTGATGCAAATATTTTCTGTTATTATTTATTTTGATTAGGAAAGGACACTACCTTAAAGAGGAACAAAAATAGATTACACTGGCAGTGATGCAAATATTTTCTGTTATTATTTATTTTGATTAGGAAAGGACACTACTTTAAAGAGGAACAAAAATAGATTACACTGGCAGTGATGCATAGATTTTTTTTCATTATTTATTTTGATTATTAAAGGACTCTTCTTTAAAGGGTAAAAAAAATGTTACTGTTATACCATTCTTTAGAGAAAGATCATATGAAATGAAAATCATTTAAGTGGACTGAAAAAAATTTAATGGTTTGGTTTGTGTTTTTTTTTCAAGAATTAAGAATTATAATGAGATGTGTTGATATCTAATTTTACATAACATCCGCTATTTAATTCAGTGATTTTTCTGATAATCTCTACTATAGAGTGAATTTTACAATGAGCTATAGGATTAACCTCTAAAACTGCTTGTGGACACTTAAAAATGCATGTTTTGTACTATTTTGCTAAGGGACTGTTGGGTTTTGGATTTTTGTCTTAAATTAATTTTTTTAACTTGTGTGTTTTCTCAACATAACAAATGTCCTGAGAATAGAGTACTATAGAAATTTAGTGTATAATTTAATTATCTGAAGGTTAGCTATCTTTCTCTCTATAAACTTGTGATATATTCAGGTAAAAGTGAGTTAACCTATAGGAGTGGAATAGGTCTGCTTAATAACAGGAGATCCAAGCTATAATGAAGTAATTCTGGGTTCTCTGACAATTTACTGTGAACTTTAAAGGGTTTATTTTGCTTATAGATGTGATAAGTGTAAAGAGCTCTTAATCTTGTATAGTATGTTTTATTTTTGTTAAAGGATATTGTTTGTCATTTTAAAAAATATTTAGTTTTTGCCATTTTCATGTTGAAGAATAATGTTTTACAGAAATTATTTTTGTTAAAAGGTTTCATTTATATTCTGTTGTATGTTTTCGCTTCTATGGTTTACCTTCATAATGTATTATATATTGAATTTTGTAATTATGATCTTTGTTAAAGGGTTTTCAATTATGCTGTTAATTGACCACTGTTAGAGTTAATTTTTTGGATTCTGATATGATCACTGTTAAAGGGTATTTTATCAGGTAACAATTTTGAATATGTTATGGTTTTTCGTGTACAAGGTTTGTGATGACTGTGTGACATAAGTTTTCAGGGGCTAGAAAGAATTATTGCACTCTTTGGCCAGAGTGAGATTTTTAGATGTTATGAGTTAAAAGTTTAAATTTTGTCTTCAAGACAAATTTGAAGTAGAGAAGACAGGAAGATTGATATATGAATATATCATGCATTTCTATCTTCTTATGACATTATAATAGTATTATTCTGAATTTATCCTGTGCAAGTTTCACATAACACATTCTACTTTTCTGTTGTTTTTTTTTTGTCATTGTTCTGCCCATGGGGTATTACTGCACATTGTGCAAGGATGTTGAGAAAAATGTCTTTTAGTAGTAGGCCAGGTGATATCTCAAGATTACAAACTCTTATGTTTCAGTAAAATTAAACAACATTGACGTCGGTACTGCACCTGTATTGAGAATAGGGTTTGTCAAAATCCACACAGGTTGGTTCAGTTACTTTAGAACACAATTGACAAGACAGATTATTTCTTCTCTACTCTGTTATTACAATACAGTCTGTGATAATTTCATTTTAGGAATCACCACTATATACCCTTTATGGCTATACTCACAATCACTCTATCTATCTAACTATGTCTTAAACTACATTTTTTATGCTTATTTATAGACTGACAGGGGCCTAGAAGGTTCTGCATACTATGAGATATCATGATGCAATAATACTCAATCAAAACAATGAAAAAAAAATTGGAAAGTTCTTGTAACATGACACAATAATGCAAGCACCAATTCACATCAGTTGAACTACACAACATATAATTCGTACACAGTTACAAACTTACGATAAACTATTGCTTCTAAAAATAAGTAAATTTAACGCTTGCATCAAACTTAAATTGAAACAGTCGTGTATATCTAACAGGCCATTTGTTACAACAACAATTGTTATCAGCAATGAGTATGATGGATATAGTGTGTTTGAAGTGCTATTATTAATACACTCTTCTAATTCTTGAAAATCTGTAAGAGACTAAATTAGGAAAGTAGTGTTAAAAATCTAATAGGCCTTATATAATGTCTTCTGATGAATATAATTAATTATATCATGCTTCACCAACTTCTAAAATGTATTCACACCATAATAATTGTTGTTGAAACAAATGGCCTATATGAATGGTATACTGGTCCATATGGGAAAAATAAAAACAAAAGGGAAAACATCTTTAATAAGAAAAATAAATGTTTAAACTCTGAATATATGTATTTTTAACTTTACAGTCAATACTGTATTAGATGATGCTTCTAAAGGCCGTGGAATCAAATATGCTGTTTGTACAGAGAATTCTACATATAAAATATACATTTAAAAAAAAAACTGATATTTATTTAGGAGGTTCCACAGGCTATGCAAATGAAATATGTAAATTTTAATATGAAAATAAATATTCCTATCATATGTCTGTATGATATATAGTTTTTTGCAAGTTGTATAATTATAGGTCCCATATTATGTTCAATATGAAACATATTTTGATCAAAACTTTTTTTTCAGTTTATGCACCACAACCAAATTATTTGGAGAGAATTGTTCGAAAATTTCCAGAATTAAATGACGAAGAATATGTTTGTAGAAATTTTCCGGGAAAAGATCAGCCTCCATTGGTTCTTCCGTAAGTTTATTCATATATTTTTATTAAGAAATTATTTCTGTTCTAATAAAGTTAATATGGCCATTTCTTTTGAAAATGTATGATATGACCTATTACAAATACACACACACAATCATAACCAGTAAATGTTCGTAGAAGAGTAAAAGTAAATTATCAAATACATTAAATTTGTACATTGCTATAGGCAATTTCAGGGGAATTTCATATACATTGTTAAGATAAATATCAATCATATACAGTGGGAAATATTTCAAAAATGAGAATTCATTGACCAACTTAGCCTCAATGCAGGCAAGTGTAAATAATTACAGTTGTATTGGTTCTCTTTGTGCCAGATATCTTTGTCAACCATTTGTAAGATGATATATTGGCCTTATTATAGGACGATCTCGAATATAAGGTGACACCCATTTTCAAAAACGGTGGGAAAGAAAACTGTGTCATAACATCCTTTTTTAGGTCTGCATAATCAATACTATAACTGAACAGCCTGCAGGTGGATTAATTGCAAGAATTAGTAATGATCCTGAGCAGAAATCTAGTGTGCATGCATAGATGGATGCTATCTGGACATCCAGGAATGCGATAGACTAGAGTAGTGGGAAGAGGCCTGTGGTTGGCCATGATTATAAGGTGACTAAGAATTTTGCAGCCTAATTATTAATCAAAAAACACTGCCTTATAATCAGGCCAAAACAGTAGTTTAGTTTGCTTTTAGTATTTGTTTTATGCAAAATTATCATTACATCTTGATTTTGATCTAATTAGTAATTGACAAATTAGGTAGTTAAATTAGTAATGTTTTTATAATTTAAACTATGCAAAAAATAAAATTAGGAATAAGGAAATGTGGATAACATCACAATTGTGCATATGGGAGAAGAGGGTGTAGATAGTACTGTGCATTGCAAAGGAAAAAAGTATTTGGGGAATTGGTTTGTCATCTATCAGAGCCCCATCTCAGACAGCAGTGTTAAGGTTTTGTGTGTGAATTTCTTTATTTGTTTATAGATGCTTGGAGTAGTGGTACCATCACCCTGTTGAATTTTAATATTTGCTCCTATACCTAGGATTTGAAAGCATTGCTAGATCTGGTATCTCTTACCAGATAAGTTGACTAATTTATCATTTTTGATCACACCATTTGGTTCAAAGTGTTTTGTGCTAGAGGTGTTTAGTAGATATCACATGTCGTGGAACAGGTTTAACCCTCTTAAGTTCAACTTCACAGTCATTGAGATGCTCTGCACAGCCATCAGATTGTTTAGAACTCTACATACCTAACCTCTTACAGTAGTCTAGGCAGGCCATTTAACTGTTTGAATTACTTTAAATACACATCATTGCCTTTACATTTTATAAACTTTGTACATTTATTTACAAAATACCACAACCAAAAGTTTTTTTGTGCAAAGCATGAGTTTTCTTCCTAGTATTTATATATATGAGAGTACCAGTATAGTGTACACTTTGTAATTATGTATGTGAATTTTTCTCTTGCAAAGTAGTCAGTATGAATACTGTCTACAGAGCTATAGAGTTAGCTTCAGTTTAAGGGCTTTTTTTTGTGTGTGTGTGTGAACACTGTATGAAACATACTTAGTTTATTTTGTGTTGTTAGAAAAATTTTAAAGATCTTAACTAAAATTTATTGTCTGAGAAAACAAAATTTTGAAAGTGCAAGAAATACCTTTGTATCTTGAATATCTAGTTGACAGTTTATACGAAGATTGTTGTATCTTTTGTGTTTTCTCTAGTGAAACTGGGAATTCTAAGAGAGTTGTATATACTATATATGAATATGATCCACTGTTAGATTCTGCAAACATGACAATGGATGATTGGAGAGCTATAGCTCTGGATATTAAGGTACAGTCAAGCTGAAGTTTCCTATAAAATGTTAGTGGCCCTACTAATGGGCCAAGAAACTATATATTTGTGGAAAACTTAACACTACTGTTAAATGTTTTCTGTTCCTGTCCTTAGATTATGTCAGTATTTTCACTATTACACACAATTTTCTAAAAAATGTTAACCCTCTGATATTAGGGTTGAAGCGTGCATGCCATCACATTTTACAGAGTTGCAATTAAAATTTAATTAACTCTCTCAACATGGGATTGGTCAATTTGACTGACCATGTGACCTCTTTGTACTCATTTAAAGTCTTTATAGATTTAATACTTCTAACTTTCAATATAGTGGATTTATCTTCATAAATTACAATTACTATTACAAGTCTTTCACATACAAAAAACATATTTTTTTAGCAAAGTATATATATATACTAAACTAAAATAAAGATTTGTCCATGAATATATTGAGTGTTTGTATTAAATATTTCGTATGCAAAGTGATTTTCATGTTAAGATTAAAAATACTTTTCCTCATCTCAAAAATCTCAAATTTCCTTTGTGTAATCCTCCTAAATACATTTCAAACGTTTGTTTTCAGTATATTTTATCTGTTATTTTTCTCTACCCTATCTCCATATGGGATCTGTCAGTTTGATTGGCCATCGTAACCACTAAAAAAAAAAAATCTAAATACATTTTTTCTTTCTAGAATTGTAACATTAAACTTCATTCACTTATCATAAGTGGCGTTAAGCTGGTAAACAGTATGCATCTATTTATAATTAAATTTTATTATTTTACTGCCCTTTTGATTGCCTTTTGAACTGTGTCTAACTACTATTTGCACCATTATAAGTTATAAATCACTTAGGGAATGTGGCTATCGAAATACATGACCCACAAGCTACTACAAGCTGCTCACATATGTGCCTTGTGAAACATTGTAAATCACTTAGGGAATGTGGCTATCGAAATACATGCCCCACAAGCTACTACAAGCTGCTCACATATGTGCCTTGTAAAACATTTTTATTATATTATTATTATTATTTATTTTACCTAATTTAATCTTAACTAAGCTAAAGAGATCCCTATTTTTACATTTTAATTAGTTTTGTTATAGTAAATATAGAATAAACATGAAAACAAGAAATAAAGTACTTACCAAATCTTCTTTTTTCTTGCTGTCGATTGTCAATTACAGTTAACCCTACATTTTTTTTATACTAATGTTAGTAATACACTAAATAACTTTTGTTTAGTTAAATAATGCACAAAAAAACAGACTAATAACATGCAAAAGTAGACAATTTTTCCTAACTTGCACATTATTTCTGGCTTTCTAACTGTACAACAAGAGCTTTCACAAATTTATTCAAGTTAAACGTTAACTTTCTCATGGAAACAAAGCTTGTACTTTGAATGAAATGGATGCTTATCCGTTCAGAACACAACTTTATACAATACATTGTCTGATAGATGAAAACCTTGGCTTTCTATTAGTTATCAGTAATATATAATTAAATATAAGAGAGAACTATTAACAAATCCTGAAAGAGAGGATGTAACAGGAGGGGTCTGATTTTCTATTTGATAGCTCTGTAACCATATAAAATTGAAGGTTATAAAAATTATGGTTTGTCTGAACAATGACAATTTTATATTGAGTAATTTGCATTTAATTTCATACTTTTTGGAGGGGTGGTGGATAAAATAGAGAAGAAAAGATGCCTGGAGAAAATGTGTCACACTAGGGGAAATTTGGAATTTCTTTTAATATTGCCTTGTAGAATTAAGAACTTAAAACTTGTATGCTTTTAAGATATGGATTATTAGCTACAATTTTATGCTATGTTAATTGATATAACATAAACAAAGTAGTTTAATATAATTTTTAACGTAAGACATTAAAACCATATGTCATGTGCAGTGAATGATACCTGTGGCGATAGGGATAAGCAACTTTATTATCAGTGTAAGTAAATAAACTTGGCATAGAAATGTTGTTTATAATTCAACTTTTAACATTATTTAAGTTTTAATTTTTAATTTCAAAAGGAAGTATTTAAATAAATTCTCAATCTTCACTTCTTTGTGTCATGTGACTCTTTTCTCTAAATTGACTTTTTTTTTATGCCTCTATTAATTTTCTAAGTTTCCAGGTCTTCATCTTTGTACATTCCCTTCAATTCTTCTGCTCTCCAAGGTTCTGGCACTGATTTGCTCCATGTCCTGTCAATTTTTCTGGTGGAACCATACTGGCCAGGTCAACCCTGGTTTCTATTTCTCCAGTATATTCAGGAGTGTCAACTTCTTCCCCTTCTTCCTTGGCTATCAGCCTCAGTCAGACATTTCTCGTCCAGCAGTCTGCATTCTTTGACTTCACACCTTGCTTTTATGTTGTCCATCGCACGACATCAGGGACTGACATCTCGAGTGGCATCCTTATTAACACATTCTTCTTTGGAAGTTTATCAAAGAAAATGGATTACTTATCATCAAAGGTCTCTCAGACATGTTTTGTCATTACTTTTAAAATCATTTTAGGTTATCTGTCCTCGTCGCCCTTTCCAGGTTCCTAATTAGGATATCACAGTGGTTCTCCATGCATTATCATGTCCACCTTTAGAACCTTTGGCATCAGGTATGCTTTTACAAATCCACACTAACTACCAATAGACTAATAACTAAATTCCTGGTTGCAACAAGCTCTGTTGAGACGGGGTGTTCCATAAGACTGCATTGGTGCTTTCCTGGTGGTGAAAAATTGTTCTATATCATATACAGTACTGGACCGCCATTCATGGACTATCATGAGTAAAGCTCTTCCCTGCTTAACCCCCAACTTGAGCAACTCTAAGTTGGTTTGCTTTTCAAAATAAGGAACATGGGTCATCTATTGCACTCTCTCTCTGGAGCATCATTTCTCAGGATTCCCCAACATGAATCCCCCTCCCCTCCCTGCCAGTGGAGCAAGAAAATCCTTACCACTCTGTTTTCAGTTTCTTAAGTGGTGGACAGAGGTCTATTCCTCCTGAGTGATGTTTGTACTCTTTATTCCATTCAAGGAGAAGAGGGCAAAGCTGAATACCCTCCCACCCTTAACCCTGGATGGTTTTCCCAGATGTCAGGTGAGGAGCCGGTACAGCCTATGTAGGAGCCTCCTTGTAATTTTGGTTCAGAAATGACACTTCACTATCTGGTTGTGTGAGTATGGCCTTTCTCTTTGGTCATTCTCTTACTTTCCATGATCATGGAAGAGGTTATTCAACTCCTTGTCTTTCCACACATGAAGCATCACATTCATAAGCCATTGGTTGAACTCCATTTGTTCCACGTCCTCCTCTTACTTCTGGAGGCAGTAGGTGTTGCCTTGCCTACCAACTTGAGGAGTTAGGATTTTGGTTTGTAATTCCAGGCAGGAATTGTTGCATTCTGTGCTTCTTCAGGTTGGGGGAAGACTTGCCAATTGGGTGTTGCTTGCCTTCCCTTGATAATTCTGGTGGCTTGCATGCAACATCCTGCAACATTCAAGTTGGGTTCCCTTCATATCATATTCCTATTATACAGTTATATCATATTGTGGTCCCCATGCCTTAGCCACTACACCTTGGATCTTGCTTTGTAACCACATCCTTATAATTCTGTGCGGTTGAGCCCTGGACGAATCTCATGGTAATGAACAATGTTAACACTGCAGCCAGTTGGCCTTTAACACTCACATTTAGATTTCACTTCATCTGGGGAAGAGCATACCTGTTCCAGAAGTAGTGCGACCCCCCACTAGTGTGCTTTATTATATCCCAATTTTACACACCTGTTTTTCTATATGGATACTTTTTGTGTGAGAAGAGGTGTGTTTCAGAAGTTTACATTTTCCTATACTGGGAATACATATCCAATAATACTTGCATCCTCTC